ACACACACACACACACAGACTTTGCTTCCCTGTGCTGGCTTTGAACCAAAATCCTCAGATCTCCTAAGTAGCTGGGATTACAGGTGTGAGCCACCGGTACCTGAGCTCAGAAGAGGTTTTAATTCCTGTCTTTCAACAGAGTGGAATGCTCGCTGTCCGTGAGAATCGCTACATTGTCCTGGCCAAAGACTTTGAAAAAGCATATAAGACAGTGATCAAGAAGGACGAGCAGGAACACGAGTTTTACAAGTGATTCCCCACACCCCAGGCAGGGCCTCTCACCCACTCTGGCCCCAAACCTCCTCTGCTTTTCTCTTCATCCACCACTTGTTTATTCAATAAATGGACAAGGTTGAATCTGTTTAATTTCTTTGAAGTTAAACTCAAATTGGAGAACCTGGATCTTGATCGGATGGCAAGGAACGACTTGGGGAATTTAGAAGGTGGGAGGTTGCCATTATGATCACATTAAATATAAATGGCCACAACACTAATGAAAGGACATCTTGTCGGACCCAACTCTGTGCTCAACCCACAGGAAATGCCCTCGGGTTAAAGGCATAGGGGAAAAATATACTATCTTAACACTAGTTAAGAGGGTAGACTTGCAGGGCGCTGGTGGCTCACGCCTGTAATGCTAGCTCCTGAGAAGGCTGAAATCTGAGGATTGCAGTTCAAAGTCAGCCTAGGTTGGAAAGTCCATGAGATTCTTATCTCCAATAAAAACCACCAGAAAACTGGAAGTGGTGCTGTGGCTCAAGTGGTAGAGCACTAGCCTTCAGCTGAAGAGCTGAGGGACAGCGCTCAGGCTCAGAGTTCAATACCCACGACTGAAAAAAGTAGGTAGACCTTATTTTTAGAAACAATTTGATATTGGAGCAAGCAGTGACAAGAGTTTAAAAAAAAAAAAAAAGTCAAGCCATGGGGCTGGGAAGGTGGCTCAATGGTAGAGTACTTGCCTCGCATGCATGAGGCCCTGGGTTAAATTCCTCAGCACCACATAAACAGAAAAGGTTGGAAATGGTGCTGTGGCTTAAGTGGTAGATAAATAGCCTTGAGCTGAAGAGCTAAGGAAAGTCAAGCTGGGAGCTGGTGGCTCACGCCTGTAATCCTAGCTACTCAGCAGGCTGAGATCTGAGGATCAGTCACGATTTGACACCAGCCTGAGCAAGAAAGCCCATGATAATTCTTATCTCCAGTGAACCACCAAAAATTCACAAGTGGAGCCTGGCTATCATTTCAGTATTATGAAGTGAGGCTTTGGGTTGGTTCCATGATCAGATAAAAAAAAAGTATCACTCCTTGGATGCTGGTGGCTCACACTGTATTCCTAGCTACTCAGGAGGCTGAGATCTGAGGATCACGGTTCAAAGCCAGCCAAGGCAGGAAAGCCTGTGAGACTTTTATCTCCAATTAACCACCAGAAAACTAGAAGTGGCACTGTGGTGCAAGGGGTAGTGCACTAACATTGAGCTGAAGAACTCAGGGACAGAGCTCAGGCCCAGAGTTCAAGCCCCACGACTGACACACACACAAAAGTATCATTCAACTGGGAGAGAGCTAAGCTAGTAAAGGGGAGACATTATCCAAAAAGAAGTGTACTCATGGCTGGGAATGTGGCTTAGTGGTAGAGTCCCAACTGCAGCCCCATAACCAATGAGAGAGAGAGAGAGAGATCTTATTCTCTCAGGGTTTAGAGGTGAGGAATAAGAATACCTGTCTGGATAGATTCCCTGTGATGAAATGGGTAGCTTTATGAAACAATAGACAAGAAGACAAACACAGCTGCACAGCCCACCTCTTGATGTGCCAACTTAAGATGCTGCCAGCAAAACCAACACTGGATATGCCCTCTGCCTGACCTTGGACATCCAGAACCTGTGAGCCAAATTAAACTACTTATCTTTAACAAATTATCCAGCCTCCAGTATTTCCTCATAGTAACAGAAAACAGACACATTCTCTAGTTAAAAAAAAAACAGAGGCCTGGGAATGTGGCTTAGTGGTAGAGTGCTTGCCTAGCATGTATAAAGCCCTAGGTTCCATTCCTCAGTTCCACATAAACAGAAAAAGCAAGAAGTGGTGCTATGGCTCAAGTGGTAGAGTGCTAGTCTTGAGCAAAAGAAGATCAGGGACAGTGCTCGGCCCTGAGTGCAAGCACAATAGCAAATAAATGAATATAGGGAACAGCCCCAACTGCAGATACAAGGTGTCAAAAGAAGAGAACAAGGGGATGGGAAGGTGGCTCAGTGGTAGAGCGCTTGCCTTGCATGCATGAGGCCCTGGGTTCGATTCCTCAGCACCGCATAAGCAAAAAGAAAAAAGCCAGAAGTGGCGCTGTGGCTCAAGTGGTGGAGCACTAGCCTTGAGCTGAAGAGCTGAGGGACAGCGCCCAGGCCCAGAGTTCAGGCCCCATGACCGGACCCAAAAAAATAAAATTAAAAAGAAAAAAAAAGAGAACAAATGAGGCTGAGAATGTGGCTTAGTGGTAGAGCACTTGCCTTGCATGCATGAAGCCCTGAGTTCAATTCCTCAAGACCACATGAACAGAAAAAGCCAGAGATAGAGCTGTGTCTCAGTAGTAGAATGCTAGCCTTGAGTAAAAGCAGCTCAGGGACAGTGAGTGCCCAGGCCCTGAGTTCAAGCCCAAAGACTAGCAAACAAACAAACAAACAAAAACCCATGAGGCTGGGGGAGGGGGATAAATACCACTCAGCTGCCATTTATTTATTTATTTTTACCTGTTTGGGGGCTTGACCTCAGAGGCCTGGGCTTCATTTGCTCAAGGCTAGCACTTTACCACTTGAGCCACAGCTCCACTTTTGGCCTTTTCTGTTTATGTGGTACTGAGTAGTCATACCCAGGGCTTCGTGCATGCTAGACAAGTGCTCTACCACTAAGCCACATTCTCAGCCTCTTTTGTTCTCTTCTTTTGACACCTTGTATCTGCAGTTGGAACTGTTCCCTATTATTTATTTATTTGCTATGGTGCTTGCACTCAGGGCCTGGGCACTGTCCATGATCTTCTTTTGCTCAAGGCTAGTGTTCTACTACTTGAGCCACAAGGACACTTCTGGGTTTTTTTGTTTATATGGTACTGAGGACTCAAACCCAGGGCTTCATGCATGCTAGATGAGCACTCTACCACTAAGCCACATTCCCAGCCCTCCCTGAATATTTTAGCAGCAGTAACCAGACAGCATGGGTACTTTACACAGACAGGAAAGCATGTTTGAGCAAGATTTGCAGAAAGGCTCTGGGCACCTGTGGCTCACATTTGTAATCCTAGCTTCATGCATGCTAGATGAGCACTCTACCACTAAGCCACATTCCCAGCCCTCCCTGAATATTTTAGCAGCAGTAACCAGACAGCATGGGTACTTTACACAGACAGGAAAGCATGTTTGAGCAAGATTTGCAGAAAGGCTCTGGGCACCTGTGGCTCACATTTGTAATCCTAGCTACTCAGGAGAATGAGATATAAGGATCACAGTTTGAAGCTAGGCAAGCAGGAAAATCTGGGAGACTTATCTGTAATTAATCACAGAAAAACCTGGAAGTGATGCTGTGGCTCAAGTGGTACAGTGCTAGCCTTGAGTAAAAGAAGCACAGCGACAGTGGCCAAACCCAGAGTTCAAGCTCCAGGACCAGCCAAAAAGAAGAAAAAAGATTTCCAGGAAGAAACATGGCAAATACTGAAATTCTCACAGGCAATGTCCATTCGCAGAGATTTCTTCACAAGTGATTAAAACAATCCATCCAGAGTTGAACTCAAAAACTCTACATGTACATGGTGGCCACTAGGTGGAGGCAGTATCTCAAGGATAAGATATTAATGATAGACTCCTAATAAGAACTGCAGAACACTTTTTGTTTGTTTGTTTTGTTGTTGGTGGTGGGGCCTGAACTCTAGGCCTGAGCCCTGTCCCTGAGCTCTTCAGCTCAAGCCTAGTGCTCTACCACTTGAGCCACAGCACTACTTCCAGTTTTCTGGTGGTTAATTGGAGATAAAGAGTCTCATGGACTTTCCTGTGTGGGCTGCTTTAAACTGTAATCCTCAGATCTCAGCCTCCTGAATAGCTAGGATTACTGGTGTAAGCCAAATTCTCTCTCTCTCTGTCTCTGTCTCTGTCTCTCTCTCTCCTTCCTTTCTTGCTTTGTTTCTTTGCCAGTCCTGGGACTTGAACTCCAGGCCTGAGCGCTGCCCCTTAGCACTTTTTAAATTTCATTGTAAATGTCATATACAGAGGGGTTACAGTTACATAAGTAAGGGAATTGGTATGTTTTTTTTTTTTTTTGTCGGTTATGGGGCTTGAACTCTGGGCCTGGGTGCTGTCCCCAGCTCTTCAGCTCAAGGCTAGCGCTCTACCTCTTGAGCCACAGTGCCACTTTTGGTTTTCTGGTGGTTTGTTACAGATAAGAGTCTCACAGACTTTTTTTTTTTTTTTGGCCTGGTCGTGGGGCCTGAACTCTGGGCCTGGGCGCTGTCCCTCAGCTCTTCAGCTCAAGGCTAGCGCTCTACCACTTGAGCCACAGTGCCACTTCTGGCTTTTTTCTTATGTGGTGCTGAGGAATCGAACCCAGGGCCTCATGCATGCAAGGCAAGCACTCTACCACTGAGCCACCTTCCCAGCCCCTCTCACAGACTTTCCTACCCAGGCTGGCTTAGAACCACAATCCTCAGATCTCAACCTCCTGAGTAGCTGGGATTACAAGTGTGAGCCACCAGTACCCAGATCATTTTTAAAAAAAAAATTTGCCAGTCCTGGGTCTTAAACTCAGGGCCTGGGTACTGGCCATGAGCTTCTTTTGCTCAAGGCTAGCACTCTACCACTTTGCCACAGCGCCACTTCTGGGTTTTTCTGTTTATGTGGTACTGAGACCTCAAATCCAGGGCTTTATGCATGCTAGGCAAGCACTCTACCACTAAGCCACCTTCCCAGCCCCTTCCCGTCATTTTTTAAGGCAGTGGCAGTGTTCTGGAATCTTAGAGGATTTATTGATACATTTGTTTGTTCACTTGCTTGCTTGGCATTGCTGGTGAGTACAGAGTCGCCTATATTTGGCAGGTACTTTACCCCTGAGCCATGCCCCTGACAACTGAATCTTGGGACGGAAACATTCACCATGCATCTGGAGCAGGCTCAGTCCCTGCAAGGCCAGGCTGGGGCTGCAGCCATCTTCCCAGCCATCTCCACGCTCGGAGGACACGCAGGGCAGAAGTCATATAGGAGACTCCAATCTTCCCTGTAACAACTTCCTCAGCGCGTGTTTCTTGCAGCTGTGATGTCCTCTCCAGCTGCTCCTGGCTGCAGAGCCTGCGGGCAGGAGGGCCAACGGCGCTGTCCATGGTGCTGACCACCACGAACTGGAGAACGGCTGGTGAGCCTGGCGCTCCAAGTCTTCTCCCCCATCCCTCTCCCCCATCTCGGTCCTAGGGCTTGAACTCAAGCACTGTAACACTTGAAGGGAGGGAAGGAGGGAAAGAGGAAGGAGGAAGAGCAAGCAGTGGCACGCAGTGCCCAGAGGCCGCCCTGCACGCGCTCTGTGTCTCCCGCAGGTGGCGCTGTCACACGCCTGCACCACGTCTACTTCCAGGCAGTCTTTTCAGACCCTGGGAATGGAAGCACACGGGGAGGGAACGTGGTCATTCCAGTTGTTGAAGCGGGAGGGGGGGCGAGAGGAGTCGCTCCACGGGACAGCATTTGCACAGTGTGCAACAGGCTCCGAGTTGGGGCAAAAAATAAACAGGAGAACCTGACAGGTGCGAAGACTCTTTCCTTCACCTGTGTGGATGATGCAACTCAAAATCACAATGACAGCTCTGGGGGCGTGGCTCAAGTGGTAGAGCACCTGCCTAGCAAGGCAGGAGAGGCCTGAGTTCAAATCCCAGTCCCACCTGGAAACAAAAGGTAAAATGGCCAATGCTTTGATGCTAATACATTCAAAATATTGCCATCCCAATATATAACCATTGTTTTTTTAATTTCTTATACCATATTGGCACATCTCCAGACATGTTTTAAGTGCTCCAGAGCCAACCTTTGGCTGGTGGCCACCGGGGTGCTGACCTTCCAAAGGCTTGATTTCCCAACCACACCTGAATTCCTGTGCCCTGCAACCAATCTCCTGCCACCTCATCTACAACCAACCCCACCCACGTCACTTGTAACCAAGCCCCCACCCACTTAAAACTCCGCCCATCTCACCTGCACCCAAGCCCCACCCACCTCAAAACGCCACCAAACCCGGGCCCACTTCAGCTGCAACCAGACCCTGCCCACCAAATCTGCAACTAAACCCCACCCATCACAACTCTAAGCAAATCCCATCCACCACATCTGCAAACCAAGCCCCACCCATGCCACTGGGCCCACAGCCTAGATGGTCATCTTCAGAGATTCCGAATGTGATCTGACCTGCACCTCAGATAGTCATCTCAAAGTCAGGGAGGCGAGTGGCCAGGCCGAAGACCCCTAAGTGTGCTTCCTCCCTCTTCTCCTGAGACTCCTCCTCTTCTTCCTCTTCATAGACCTCCTCCTCCTCTTCTAGGATGGCAACCAGCTCCTCCCGAAGAGCTCCCATCTCCAGCCCCAGGCTGCACAGCTGGCCCAGCAACTGGATATCCATTCTGCGTAGGCTGCCCTGCCAAGAAGAAGAGCACCATAGATAGGCAGGCCACCAGGGGTCCCAGGCAGGAATTTGTCCCTCATTCATCAGTGACACTTTCTTCTTCAAATTGCTCATGATCTCTATTTCTCTGATCTGTCTGCCCCTGCTCTTGCTCTAATTTCCACCCCATCTCTGGGTCCATTCCTATCTCTCATTCTATGTCTCCACTTTTCCCTCTATCTCAGCCTCATTCTCTACTTTGGTCTTCAATCTCTGACCTTTTCTTCTTCCTCCTCATTTTGTTTTTTGTTTTTTTTTTTTTTGTGCCAGTCCTGGGGCTTGAACTCAGGGCCTGGGCTCTGTCCCTAAGCTTCTTTTGCTCAAGGCTAACATTCTACTACTTGTGCCACAGCACCCCTTCTGGCTTTCTCTGCTTATGTGGTACTGAGGAATTGAACCCAGGGCTTCATGCATACTATGCAGGCACTCTACCACTAAGCCTCATTCCCAGCCCATCTGTGCACTTGTGTTTGTAGTTCATGATAGGCTTTCATCATGTAGCCCTGGCTGGCCTCAAGATCCTCCTCCCTCAGCCTCCCAAAAGCTGGGATGACAGGTGCGCGGAAGCCCCTGATTAATCTCTGGCCCTTTCTATTTCTACTTATTCATTCATTTCCCTGCCCCCCTCTCTCCTGTCCTTCCAAGCCTGGTCACTCACCAGCTCCTCCCAGATCCACTGCAGGCTCTCCTGGGCTTCTTCACGGTCTGGCCCTGGTGACAGCAGTGTCTGGCTCAAGCTCTCCTCTGGTGGGGGTTCCCTCAGGGCAGGGGGAGGTGGGCCGAGCCCTGAGGGCTCTAGGCCAGCTTGCTTCAGCTGTATCCATAGCTCCATCGGGTCTGAGAGGGGACTGCCAGAGCAGGAAGTAGCAAGGTCCAGGGTGACCCAGTCCCTGGAGAGTTGTGGATTGGGAGGGAGGAAAGGGCAGCTGGGGGAAGAACTGGCAGAAACATCCCAAAGTCCATTCTTGAGGGAGAATCTGCTGACCACGCGTTCCTCAGCACTGGCTGTTCGGTGTCTTGTTAGATTACCTGTTTCTGCTGGCTCCTCCCACCTCTGCAGCCTCCACACTTCAGCCTCCCTCACTGAACTTTCTCCCCTGAAGCTCTTGACTTGCTCACAGCTCTGACCTTGCTTGTTTTATTTATTTATTTTTTGGTCATGGGGCTTGAACTCTGGGCCTGGGCACTGTCCCTGAACTCTTCAATCAAGGTGAGTGCTCTACCATTTGAGCCACAGAACCACTTCTGGTTTTCTGGTGTTACAGATTCCTAAACTGGCTAGCTTTGAACTGTGCTCCTCAGATCTCAGCCACCTGGGATTACAGGCATGAACCACCAGTGCCAACCCTTGCTTTTTTTTTTTTTGGGGGGGGGGGCTCAGGCCATGCCATGGATGCTTCTTTACCAGAATGTTCCATGTCCAGGCTTCTGGCTGTAGGAGAACTAACAATTCCACTGCCTCTGAACTTGACTGAGGTTATTGGCCCTGTCAAGATGGTCCTACTGTGGAAAAAACTGGAAAGTACTGCAGTCATTGACGGGTATAGACCCTTCTTTCAAGCCCAAGGTGTTAAAAAAAATCCTTCAATAAACCAGGCACAGTGGTGCATTCCTATATCCCTGTGTTTGGGAGGGGGAATCAGGGGGATCAGGAGTTTGAGGTCAGCCTGGATTGAACAGCAAGAAGTTATCTCAGGGCCAGAGGCTGGTGGCTCACGTCTGTAATCCTAGCTACTCAGGAGGCTGAGATCTGAGGATCACAGTTCACAGCTAGCCTGAGCAGAAAAGTCCGTGAGACTCATCTCCAATGAACCACCAGAAAACTGGAAGTGGCGCTGTGGCTCAAGTGGTAGAGCAAGCACTCGCCTTGAGTGAAGAGCTGAAGGACAGTGCCCAGGCCCTATGACTGACAAAGAAGAGGAAGAGGAAGAAGAAGAAGAAGAAGAAGAGGAGGAGGTGGCGGCTGCAACAGCAGCAGTAGTTGTTATCTCTGCACAAAACAAATAAAATAAAACCCACCATGGACATGTAATAGATTCCAAACCCCTGACTTAATGCTGACAGCCTTCTAGAGCTCAAGACCCTAACTAAGCATGCTAAGGTCTCAAAATGATCTCAGGGATTTCAAAGACAATATGGCCAGAATAGAACTCTCCATGAAGGCCTGGTCTCAACTGGAACTTACCCCACTGGACCCACTTCTGCTGACACTGTAACAAATCATAATCTTACCAGCTTTAAACAAAACACTGGATTATTCTCTTGCCAGGGGCTGGTGGCTCACATCTGTAATCCTAGCTACTCAGGAGGCTGAAATCTGAGGATCAAGGTTTAAAGCCAGCCTGAGCAGGAAAAGTCCATGATCTCTTTTTTTTGGGGGGGGGGGGGGGGGAGGGGGAGGGCTGGTCCTGGGGCTTGAACTTAGGGCTTGGGCACTGTCCCTGAGATCTTTTGCAAAGGGCTAACACTATCACTTAGGCCACCATGGCACTTCCAGCTTTTTCTGAGTAGCTTATTGGAAATAAGAGTTTTACAGGCTTTCCTGACCAGCCTGGCTTCAAACTACAATCCTCAAATCTCACCCTCCTCAGTAGTTAGGGTAACAGGCATGAGCCACTGGTGACTCCAGTGAACTACCAGGAAACCGGAAGTGGCGCAGTAGCTCAAAGTCATAGAGCGCTAGCCTTGAACAAAAGAGATCAGGACCAGTGCACAGCCTCTGAGCTCAAACCCATGACTGACAAAAAAAAAAAAAAAAAAAAGATTATTCTCTTAAAGTTCTGGAGGTCAGCCGGGCACTGGTGGCTCACGCCTGTAATCCTAGGTGCTCAGGAGCCTGAGATCTGAGGATCCTGACAATTCAAAGCCAGCCAGGGCAGGAAAGTCTGTGAGACTCTTATCTCCAATAAACCACTAGAAAAATACTAGAAGTGGCACTGTGGCTCAAGCAGTTAGAGCACTGGCCTTGAGCTGAAGAGCTAAGGGATAGCACCCAAGCCCAGTTCAAGCCCCATGACTGACAAAATAAATAAATAAAAATCTGAAGGTCAGGAATCTAACCCAGAAAGAGTGTTCATGCCTGTAATCCTAGCTACTTCTAACTTCCAGAACTTAAAGAGAATAATCTTTCTTTTTAATGTTGGTTGGCTTGAATGCAGAGTGCTGTCCCTGAGTTTTTTCCCTCAAGAGGAAAGTCTTTTTTTTTTTTTTTTTTGCCAGTTCTGGGGCTTGGACTCAGGGCCTGGGTACTGTTTCTGAGCTTCTTTTGCTCAAGGCTAGCACTCCACCACTTGAGCCACAGCACCACTTCTGCCCTTCTATGTTTATGAGGTACTGAGGAATTGAACCTAGGGCTTCATGCATGCTAGGCAAGCACTCTACCACTAAACCACATCCCCAGCCCAAAGAGAGGCTTTTCTCCAAGTAACCACCAAAAATCTGGAAGCAGAACTGTAGGTCAAGTGGTAGAGCACCAATTTTAAGGAAAAAGAGCACAAAGGCACTGCAGCCAGGCCCTGGACCTAGGACCCACACCAAAGAGAGAGAGAAAGACAGAGAGATAGAGAAAGAAAATAAAGGTGGAAAGGTGCTCAAAGTAATCATTTAACCCAAGAGCTACTCAGGATGCTGAGAGCTGAGGAAAGCAGTTCAAAGCCAGATTGGACAGGAAAGTCCCTGAGAGGCTTTTCTCCAATTAACCTCCAAAGAGCTGGAAGTGGAACTGTGGCTCAAGGGGTAGAGCACCAGCCTTAAATTAAAAAGATGAAGGAACAGCAGCCAGGCTTTGCATTCAAGCCCTAGGACCCGAACAAAGATAAAAAGAAAGAAGGAAGGAAGAAAAAAAAAAAGAGAGAGAGAAAGGATTTAAAAAAACGAAAGGCGCTCAAAGTAATCCCTCAACACAAGACGCATAAAGGGTGAGTGCTCCTTTAAGAGGAGGGCTGGAAAGCTGAGGGGCGGGGCCTAAGAGACCTACCGGACTGAACCACGTGGCCTTTGGAATCCCCGCCCCTTCCCGTTTATGGGTGCAAGATGGCGGCGCCCAGAGCGGTAGGTGACCTAGCGTTCCCCAAACCTAAGTTCTCCCCCTGCAGCCTTTCCTTCAGGGCCCTCGCCGCCAGAAAGCAGCAGCATCCGCCTGCGCCTCCCTGAATCTCCCTGCACCGGGCGTGGGCACCTGCGGTTCCTCGGGGCCGAGATATCCCGACGGTGCGGCTGGCAAGAGGAGCGACAGTAACAGTGGGCGGGAACTTGGCAGGGAGTAGCCAATGACTGTGAGGGTGTGGTGCCGAAGAGACACGCGCAGCCAATCGGAGGGACGGATTCGGCTCTACAGGGAACCAATAAGCAGGCGAGGGTTGGACCGGAAGGGAATGATTCTGGGAAATGATTGGATGAGAGTCTGGGAGGCGGGGTAGGGGTGGGAGTCGGGAGGGGACGAACACCAGAATTGTGTTGAAAACCCAAAGACAGGAAGGGTTGAAGGCTTGAGCAGTAGGTAGGTGAATTTGGCATTACTCGCCTCGCATGGAAGATTCGGTCCCATCTCCAGCACCAAAAAACTAATGGAAATTTTTGTGTTTTTGACTGTACTGGGTGTTTAAAACTCAGGGCCAGGTACTTGTCTAAGAAACACACGAGCCATGCTCCGAGCAAAAGCTTTTTACATAGGGTCCTGAATTTTCCCCCATACTACCCTGGACTGCGACCCACCAACCTAAGGCAGTACAACACAGCTGAGACCACGGGTGTATACCACCACACCCAAGCTTATTTTGCTGAGATGAGAGTCTCTATAACGTTACGCCTGGGATGACCTCAAACCTCCAATTTCTACCTCCCCAGTGGCAGCGTTTACAGATGTAGGGCCCTTACCTGACCTGTGTTTTGAGGAGGCAGGAAATGAGTCATTCAGGAAGATCTCAGGGAGAATTCGGTAATGTTTAGGGTTGAATTTGTGAGAATTTTTTTTAAAAAATCATAAAAATGATTTGGAAAGAAAAAGGCGGCGGCTTTGGAAGAAAATTAAACCAAAGAACCTGGGAAATGCAAGAATGTTTGTCTAAATTCAAGAGAAAATTTAGGGTTAATTAAAGGAAGAACTTAGGCTGGCAGAGTGGTTCAATTGATAAAGTACCTGCCTCGGAAAGGTGAATCCCTGAGGTTTTGTTTTTAAAGGCCAGGCACAGGTGGCCACACCTGTAATCCTAGAGCTACACCTGAGGCTCAGACTCAAGGATCATGGTTCAAAGTCAGCTCAGGCAGGAAAGTCTTATTTCCAATTAACCCTCACAAAACCCTCAAAAAAAAAAAAAAAGTGGGACTGTGTCTCAAAGTGGTAGAGTGCTAGCTTTGAACAAAAGAGCTCAGAGACAGGGCCCAGGCCCTGAGTTCAAGCCCTATGACAGGAGGAGGAGGAGAAGGGGGAAGAGGGGAGGGAAGGAGGGAGAAAGAGGGAAGAGGAAGAAAAAATAATTTGAGGAAAATATAATGCTAGCTACTCAGGAGGCTGAGATGTGCAGATCACAGTTCAAAGTCAACCCAGTCAGGACAGTATGTGAGAATCTTTATCTCCAGTGAACCACCAGAAAAGCTGGAAGTAGAACTAGGGCTCAAGTGGTAGAGCATTAGCCTTGAGCAAAAGCAGCTCAGGCACAGCGTCCAGGCCCTGAGTTCAAGCCCTATTACACACACACACACACACACACACACACACACACACACACACACAAGCAGGGGATTAAGGTTAGGTTTATGGAGCAAAAAAAACGTAACCTTGCTTCAGGTTCAACTCCTCCTTTCCTGTCCTCCTTAGTTCCAACGCCTGGTGGCCTCAGAACTGTGTAAGAATTCCAGAGGCCTCCAAGGTCTGAGTCAGGTGGTCGCCCCAGAGAGCAATCAGAAGAAGAAAAGGACTCTCCTACAATTCCTGTCTGACTACTTCTACGACATGGAGGCCCTGAGGGAGTACTTGCTGCGGAGGCAGATTTTGAAGGTGCAGAGGAAAAATCGGTGAGAACCTGAGGCCTGGAAGGCCTGGTGGAGACCCTGGGGCTAGGACCACCCAGCTGGAGTCCAGCTCCTGCCCGTGCCACTGGCAGGTCTTTCCTCCCTTCCCCCCCCACTTCCTCTGCCAACTTCAGCTCCAGCCCACAGCTTTGTAAAAGGTTCCTCCTCCTTCAAGCTCCTCTCTTACCAGCTGCAGTCGGGGGTGTAGCTGGAATCTCAGCCCTAGGATGACTAAAACCAATGTTCATTTCTCCCTTAAAAAAGTGTGTTCAGGTTGGGAATGTGGCTTAGTGGCAAAGTGCTTGCTTAGCATGCTTGAAGCCCTGGGTTTGATTCCTCAGCACCACATAAACAGAAAACGACAGAAGTGAGCACTGTGGCTCAAGTGGTAGAATGCTAACTTTGAGCAAGAGAAGCTCAGGGACAGCGCCCAGGCCCTGAGTTCAAGCTCCAGGACTGGCAAAACAAATAAAAAGAAAATGTGCTCATTCCAGGAATGGGTACCACCTTCCACCAAATTTGTTTAGCCCAAATATAAGAGTCTTCCCCCCTCCTCCCCACCTCTTACCCCCTCCCCCTTTCTTGGCTTCTCTGCCCTTCACAACTAGTCTGGCAGTAATAGAATATTCCAAATGTGACCAGTTCACATTTCACATTTGGGCACCCCTGGGGCACCCCATGTCATCCTAGCTACTCAGGAGGCTGAGATATGAGGATCATAGTTCACAGTTAGCCCAGGTAGTAAAGTCTGTAAGACTCTTATCTCCAATGAGCCATCAAAAAAAAAAAACCTCTGGACTGGAGGCATGGCTCAAGTGTCAATGGAAAAAGCCCAATGAGAGTTGAAGGCCCTGAGTTCAAGTCCCAGTACTTGCACACACACACACACACACACACACACACACAAAATCTCCAAGGACTAAGGCTTAGCCCTTATACTAGAATACTAGCATTTTAGTAAACTCTCAGTAAAGACTTGCAACCAGGCTACTGTGTTTGCTGGGCGTCCCAGACACCTGGCATGCCGGAAGGAACCCTGGGGTTTTCCAGTCCTAATCTTTGCTCTGGTTCTCTCTGCAGATCCTTCCTCGCCCTGAAGGAGCACTATGGCCCCTATGTCACAGGTGCCTACTTCGTCCTGAAGCTGGGAGGTGCAGTCAAGTAAGACAAAGGTTTCAGATTGCAGGGAGGGGGCAGGGATCCCTAAGGCCTGGGCAGTCACTGGGAGGCAGTGAGCTCCCCACTGCCACCTAGTGGCCATGTGGCAGAGGGTTTGTTCCTGGGCTTCTGTTTTGTCTATAATAAAATGGGATGGGTAGGTACTAAGGGGGCTGAAATCTGAGAATTGTAGTTCAAAGCCAGCCCAAGGAAGGAAAGTCTGTAAGACTCTTATCTCTAATTAACCACCAGAAAACCAGTACTGGAGATGTGGCTCAAAGTGGTAGAGCTCTAGCTTTGAGCAAAAGAACTCAGGGACATGGGGCTGGGAATGTGGCTTAGTGGTAGAGTGCTTGCTTAGCATGCATGAAGCCCTGGGTTCAATTCCTCAGTACCATATAAACAGAAAAAGCCGTAAGTGGTGCTATGGCTCAAGTGGTAAGTTCAAGCCCCAAGACTGGCAAAAAAAACCCCAACAAAACAAAACAAAACAACTCAGGGACAGCACCTAGGCCTTGAGTTCAAGCCCCAAGACTGAGAAAGGAAAGAAGAAAAAAGAAAGAAAAGAAAAGAAAAAGGGCAACAAAAGAAAAGAAAAAGGGCCAGTGTTTGTAGATGTGTCATAAAAATTGGGATTTTTGCCGGGTATTGGTGGCTCACGCCTGTAATCCTAGCTACTCAGAAGGCTGAGATCTGAGGATCACAGTTCAAAGTCAGCTTGGACAAGAAAGTCCGTGAGACTCTTATCTCCAATAAACCACTCAAAAACCGGAAGTGGTGTTGTGGCTCAAGCGGTAGAGTGCTCACCTTGAGCTGAAGAGTGCAGGGACAGCACCCAAGTCCAGAGTTCAAGCCCCATGACCAACAAAAAAAAAGGGGGGGGGGATTTTTTGCCCTCTAAACCTTTGTAAGGAGGTATAACAAAGCAAATGTGTTCAATAAAGTTAGCCAGCTGGGAAGGGTGGCACAAACCTGTAGTCCCAGATACTCAGGAAGGAGAGGTTAGGGGTGGGAAGGATTTCTTGAGCTCAAGAGTTCAGTAACCCACCTGGGACACATAGCATGACTCCATCTCAAAAGAATTTTTCTGGGCTGGGAAGGTGGCTCAGTGGTAGAGTGCTTGCCTAGTATGCATGAAGCCCTGAGTTCAATTCCTCAGCACTACATACACAGAAAAAGCCAGAAGTGACGCTTTGGCTCAAGTGGCAGAGTACTCGCCTTGAGCAAAGGAAGCTTAGGGACAAGCCCCAGAACTGGGGGGGGGGAGAAGAGGGGAAGAGAGAGAAAGAGAGTCTTTTTTTGTTGTTGTTGGTTGTGGGGCTTAAACTCTGGGCTTGGGCTGTCCCTCAGCTCTTCAGCTCAAGATGAGCGCTCTATGGCTTGAGCCACAGCGCCACTTCTTGCCACTTCTTGTTTTCGAGTGGTTTATTGGAGATAAGAGTCTCACAGATTTTCCTGCCCTGGCTGGCTTTTAACCTCGATCCTCAGATCTCAGCCTCCTGAGTTGCTAGGATTACAGGCGTGAGCCACCAGCACCCGGCTCTTTTTTTTTTTTTTGTCTGTCATGGGGCTTGAACGCTGTCCCTGAGCTGCTTTTGCTCAAGGCTAGCACTCTACCACTTGAGCCACAGCACCACTTCCAGCTTTTTTGAGTAGTTTCTTAGAAATAAAAGTCTTACCACGTTTCCTTCTGCAGTGGCTTCAAACTGCGAACCTCAGATCTCAGCCTCCTGAGTAGCTAGGATGACAGGCGTGAGTCACTGCCTGGCAAGACAGTTTTTTTTTTTTTGCCAGTTGTGGGGCCTGAACTCTGGGCCTGGGCACTGTCCCTCAGCTCTTCAGCTCAAGGCTAGCGCTCTACCACTTGAGCCACAGCGCCACTTCTGGCATTTTCTGCTTATGTGGTGCTGAGGAATCGAACCCAGGGCCTCATGCATGCAAGGCAAGCACTCTACCACTGAGCCAGCTTCCCAGCCCCCCCAAGATAGTCTTTCTTGCTGAGTAAAGTGGCTCCTGTCTGTAGTCTCAGCTACTGAGGCAGGTAGAGATTGGCAGGATCACAGTCCTAGACTGGGCCTCAACAAAAAAGACTTTGGCTCCCATTGGTTCCTGGAGGCCTGTTAAGCAACATCTTGGGTTTGGGACAGAGGGAAGGGACCGGAGGGGTCATTTGGCCATCTGGGAGGATGTGTTCTTATCCAGCATCTCTTGGGCCCTGGGTGCTGGTGTGTGATGCATCCCATGGTCACAGGACCACACAGGACACCAGCCCCTTCAATGGGGCACTGTGGGCACCTCTGACCTTCCCTCCCTATCCTTCCAGGTTCCAGGGCCAAGAGTGGATCCGGCCCAGCAAGCATGGCTGGATCTCTCCCTTGTTAGGCGATCTGCACTCGGTACCCGTAGAGGCCGTGGATGTCAGCGGTTGCATCATCAACTACGAAGGCCTGGACCACATCCGTGAGCGGGCAGCCCAGGAGGGAGTGGGCGGTAGGGAAGGGACGCGGGGCTTCCCCAAAGGACCCCTGATGACCCCAGCCTTCTGCCTCCTTGCAGTGCTCCTGAAGGAGCTCCGCTCCCTGTCCCTGCAGCGCTGTCCCCACGTGGATGACTGGTGCCTCACTCGTCTCTACCCGCTGGCCGGCTCGCTGCAGGAGCTGTCGCTGGCCGGGTGTCCCCGAGTCTCCGAACGGGGCCTCGCCTGCCTCCACCACCTCCAGTGAGACCTCAGGCCAGGCTGGCACCATGCCAAGCCCACTCCTGCCTAGCACTGATTCAGTGGAGAGTGAGGAGGAGAGCTACTGGGCGGTCCCCATGTCCCCTCCCTCCGCCACAGCCCAGGGGTGTGAGCACAAGGGAGCAGTCACTTGGGCCTGAGCTTCTTTGTTCAAGGCTAACACTCAACCACTTGAACCACAGCCTCACTTCTGGCTTTTTCTGAATAGTTTATTGGAGATAAGAGCCAGCCTGGGCTGGCTTTGAACCTCGATCCTCAGGTCCCAGCCTCCTAAGTAGCTAGGATTACAGGCCATGCCACGCTGTTTGCACGGCAGCAGAACAGTTGGACCCAACAGCCGTATTTGTGATTAACAGTGGATTTCATGTCCTTAACCAGCTGTAGACTTAGTTTGAATATGGCCAGGCACCGATAACTCATGCCTGTCATCCTAGCTGCTCAGGAGGCTGAGATCTGTGGCTCACGGTTTGAAGCCAGCCCTAGCTACTCAGGTGGCTGAGATCTGAGGATTGTGGTTCAAAGCCAGCCTCGGCAGGAAAGTTCCTGAGACTCTTATCTCCAATGAACCACCAAAAAAAAGCCAGAAATGGAGTTGTGGTTCAAGTGGTAGAACACCAGCCTTGGGCACAGAAGCTCAAGGACATCACCTAGGCCCAGAGTTCAAGCCCCAAGACCAGCACCAGAAAAGAAAAAGGTTTTATGAAGCTGGGAATCTGGGGGTTGAGATGAGGCTCAGGACCCCCACCCATGTGTACGCGTGCACACCAGGGCTGGCCTCACTGCCCTCCTTGCCTTCTTCCAGGAACCTCCGCCGATTAGACATCTCGGACCTCCCTGCTGTGTCCCACCCCGGCCTCACTCACATCCTGGTGGAGGAGATGCTGCCGCACTGCGAGGTGGTAGGGGCCGGCTGGGCCCAGGACCTGCAGCCAGGGGACACACCCAGTCCCGTCCAGTCTAGCCTTCAGTCCACAGCCCACTCCAGCTAGGCCTCAGAGGGCTGTGTGATGTCCAGTGTGTCACTGTGGCTTCGTGAGGTTTATGCAGCACCAGGTACTGGCAGATCAGAGGGAGAGAGAGAGAGAGAGAGGGAGAGAGAGGATGGGATTATTGGTCCTGGCTCTCATCTGTCAGGCTGTCTTCACAGCAAAGCTGCAGGGGGCTCTGTGGTTCCCCACCCTCATCTAGTGGCTCCCCCAAATGGTTCCCCTGAGCCATCACTTGCAGGAACCTTGAACAACACCAGGTGCACAGCCATGGCCCCACAAAGGGCCTGTCCTTGTTTGTCTGCTCTGTGAAGATGGAGCTGGGCCTTTGGAGTATTTCTTTGCCGGATATACAGTGAGCTTGGTTGGGAGAAAGTGCTGTATTTCTTTGCCAGATATACAGTGAGCTTGGTTGGGAGAAAGTGCTGGGGAACCATTCAGGGAAGAAGCATGGAATCCCCAATACCCACAGCTCACAGCTTCTCAGGGTCTCAGATGGTCCTCAGCATCCTCTGACACCTCTACCTCAGCTCCCTCATGGGGTGTGGGAGGATGAGGGGGACACCAGAGCTCTCCAGAATCCCAGATAGATTTCCAGTCAGTTCCGAGGCACTTTACCAGTGAATCCATCATGGTTCCAATTTGCTGTTGAAGTCAATAATCCTATATATTAAACTTTCCCCATTTAAATTACTGAATCTTTTTTTTTCCTCCTTTTTTTTTTGGGGGGGGGGGGAGGGGTCTGGTCGTGGGGCCTGAACTCTGGGCCTGGGCACTGTCCCTCAGCTCTTCAGCTCAAGGCTAGCGCTCTACCACTGAGCCACCTTCCCAGCCCTTTTTTTCCTCCTCTTGACTGGACCTGGAGTCCTAGGATTGGTCTGATTGAGCCTTTGGATTTGAGCACAGCACTGTGTTCCTGGCTAATGGGACAGAAAATGCTAGAAATCCCTGCATGCAGCAGCCTCAGGATCCCCAAAGTCCTCTGGTACCTAATGGAAACCTACACACACACACTTGCTGGGTCCCCAAAGTTCTCTGGTACCTAATGGAAACTTACACACATACACACACACATTTTGCTGTCCTCCTCTCCTGTGCCTGAAAACCTGCCACACCTCATCTGCAATGCCCCCACCTCCACACTCACCAGCGCCCCCTGCTGACAAGAGGCCTGTTATACACACACGTCAAATCTCACCTTGTTCTAGGACAGGTGTTCACCCAAGACAGTAGCTCACACACTGAAAAGACAATACTCCTTCTTGGGATGGAGAAGGTGGGCATGTTATATGAGTTCAAGGCTAGCCCAGGTCACGTTGGACTCAAAATACAAGACCAGGCTGCAGTGGCTCATGTCTGTAATCCTGGCTACTCATCACAATTTGAAGCCAGCTGGGGGAGGAGTCTGTGAGACTCTGATCTCTAATTAACCATAAAAAAAAAAACAAAAAAAAACAGAATTAGAGCTGTGGCTCAAGTGGTAGAGTACGAGCCTTGCACACAAAGGCTTAGGGAGAGCACCCAAGCCCTGAGTTCAAAACCAAGGACTGACAAAAACAAGGTCCCAGCACTTGAGAGGCTGAACCAAGAAGACAGGATGTTCAAAGCCAGCCTGAGCCTTTTGCTAACACAGCCAAGACCCTGTGTCAAAGAGAAACAAAAATAGGCTGGGAGCTGGTGGCTCACACCTGTAATCCTTTCTACTCAGGAGGCTGAGATCTGAGAATCACAGTTCAAAGCCAGCCCAGGCAGCAAAGTCCGTGGGACTCTTATCTCCAATGACCCATCTAAAAACTGGAAGTGGCACTATGGCTCAAAGTGGTAGTGCACTAGCCTAGAGCAAAAAGTTCAAGGACAGTGCACATGCCTGAGTTCAAGCCCATGACCACAGAGGGAAAAAAAGGGGACAGGTGGGGAGCCGGTGCTGGTGGCTGGTGGCTCCGGCATATAATCCTGTCTACTCAGGAGGCTGAGATTTGATGATTGAGGTTTGAAGCCAGCCTGGGCAGAAAAGTCTGTGAGAGTCCAATAAACTACTCAGAAAAAGCAGCAGTGGCACTGTGGCTCAAGTGGTAGAGTGCTAGACTTGAGCACAAAGAGGCTCAGGGACAGTACCCAGGCCCTGAGTTCAAGTCCCAGGATGGGCCAAAAAAAAAAAAAAGGTGGGGGGGGGGGCAGAATGATGGAAGGAACAACACTGCTTAAGATGCATTGTATTCATCAATAGCCATGCTGAATTGAAACCCCTTCAACTATTTAAAGATACGTGTGTAGGTATGTTGGTACTGGGGCTTGAACTCAGGTGCTATCTGGTAGCTTTTTTCCCCCACTCAGGGCTGGCACTCTACCTCTTCAGCCACAGCCTGACTTCTGCTCCTCCACCCCCCAGTCCTGGGGACTGAACTCAGGACCTGGGCCCTGTCCAGAGCTTCTTTTGCTCAAGGCTAGCACTCTACCACTTGAGCCACAGCACCACTTCCAGGCTTTTTTCTATGTATGTGGGTACTGAGGAATCGAACCCAGGGCTTCAGGCATGCTAGGCAAATACTCTACTGTGAAGCTCGAACAAAATATAATATAGCCGGGCGCCGGTGGCTCACGCCTGTAATCCTAGCTATTCAGGAGGCTGAGATCTGAGAATCACGGTTCAAAGCCAGCCCGGGCATGAGAGACCGTGAGACTCCTATCTCCAATAAACCACCAGAAAACCAGCAGTGGCACTGTAGCTCAAGTGGTAGAGCGCTCGCCTTGAGCTGAAGAGCTGAGGGACAGCGCCCAGGCCCAGAGTTCAAGCCCCATGACCTACAAAAAAAAAAATTATATATATATATATATAATATAGCTAGTTTAGGTTTAGATTCCATCCTGTTCAGACACTATAACTGAAACTCCAGGGACTGTATCAGCAACTCCCTTTGAGCCCAAATTCCAGGAACAATCCCCTTTCTGGTAAATTCCACTAACTACAGCTAAGTTCCAAATGTTCCTGCAAGTTAAAGACCACTTGGTCTCAGCTGAGATCATCTGCTTTTTTTTTTTTTTTTTTTTTGGGTCCGGTTGTGGGGCCTGAACTCTGGGCCTGGGCTCTGTCCCTCAGCTCTTCAGCTCAAGGCTAACGCTCTACCACTTGAGCCACAGCGCCACTTCTGGCTTTTTTCTTTTTGCTTATAGGGTGCTGGGGAATCGAACCCAGGGCCTCAGGCATGCAAGGCAAGTGCTCTACCACTGAGCCACCTTCCCGGCCCGAGATCATTTGCTTTATCCAGTCATTTTGAAGAGCATCAGCCCCATGAACCAGCCAACCCACCAGTCCCTGGTCAGTTCCTACCACTGGTGATGCTAATCATCTTTTAGAATTATTTTATTAATTTCCCGTGGTGTGATATGATTTGCTAAGTGATGCTATGGTGTATAGAATGTCCCTGAAACCCTATAAAAACCCTGCTGAAGGAAGGGTCATGGCTCTCAACTCTGACCCGCTGTGTGGGTGATGGTTGTGTGTCTTGAGCTTGTAATAAACGAGGCTGGTGTGCTTGCATGGGATTCGGCTCCTTGGTGGTCTTTGGGGATCCTTATCTAGGCATAAGACTACCACTAGGCCACTAGGCCACATTCCCAGCACAGACTTCTGGCTTTTCTTATTGGTTAGATAAGAGTCAGATTTGCCTGCCTAGGCCTCTTTAATGGCTAGGATTACAGGTGTGAGCCAAGGTGCTCAACTGGAGGTGGTTCTAAGAGCTACTTGTTTGTTTCACTGGAACTTGGACCCACCAGAAACCTACAGTTAGCAAAGGCTTAATTAGCCTAGGAATAATCACACCACCTGCACATCCTCATAACTAGGGTGCACCAGGAGAAACTCCACAGCCACCCACTCCTCATTGCCCAATTGCATGTTACGGCTGTAACCACTCAGAACTGAACCCTGTTCCGGCTGCGGGCCTGGCTTCTCCTTCCTGACTGGACCCAGGCTGGAACACACAATCAGAAGCTGGGGGAGGGCGGAGGTTTCTCAAAGGAGGCAGTCAGATGAGCCAGGAGAACTCAGGGATCCCTTGAACCCTTCTCTATTTAAGCCCTGGGGTGAAGTGGGCTTGGCCCAGCCCAGTCCCTGGCAGAGTTCCCCATCTAGCTCTTATTCCATTAGCCACCCCCATTTCCTCCTCACTCCCTTCCTCCAGCTGTTGCGGGGTGGAGGGTCTGGCAGGGGGGCTCCATTATTCACAGCTGGGGCGGGGAGGAAATCAGGGCCGACAGACGTTGGGGGGGTTTGTGGGGTGATCTCAGGACAGATCTCCTTCTCTGGGATGGTGGGGGGTGTGTGCCCAGGCTCGGTGAGGCCCCTGACTTCCACCACCACGAGGTCCTGGAAAGATCTGGAAAGGCAGAGGCCCCAGCCCCCAACTCCCAGGCTCCCCAGACAGCAGGCAGCCCCAACAGTCAGGGCCCCGGGAGGGCCGCAAGATAAACACGGGCAGACACCCCACGGTCCCCGGGGGTGGGCGGGCCCGGCGGCGCGCGGCCGCGCGGGGCGAGGGCGGGGCGGCCCCGGGGCGGGGCGGGGCGGGCACCGAGGGATTGTTCAGTGGGAGGGTGGCGGCGGGGTCGGCCGCACCCCGGGGCTCCCCACCCCGGCATCCTCTAGCGCCCTTCCTTTCCGGATCCTTCCCGGCCTCTCCCCAACCCCAGCTGCTCTCCCGGCCTCAGTTTCCCCCTTCCCACGCCTCTCACCTCAGCTCATCGCCCCCCCCCCCTCCGCCCAACCGAGGTCTCCCGGGCTGACTCTTGACCCCACCCCACCCCTCCCCCGGCCCCGATCCCCTCCCCCCCCAGCCCCCTCAGCACGTCGGGGCGCCCCCAGGCCGGGCCCCGCCCAGACCTCGCCCCCCTCTTTTCCCCTCTGGGACTCGCTCGGTGCTCCAGGGCCCCGGGCGGCCCCGCCCTCCCCGCCCCCCCCTCCGGCCTGGCGGGGTGACCCCGCGCGCCGGCGGTCACCCCAGCACGCTCCCCGCAGTTAGCCAGCCCCAACACGCCCGCCCGCGTCCCCCGGGCCGGCCTCCCGTTCCCCGGCCGGCCCTCGGCCCCGCCCCGGCCCCGCCCGGCCCCTGGGGCCCCGCTCCCTCCCTCCCCCCCTCTCCTCCCCTCCCTCCCCGCCGCACTCGCAGCCGGACACCGGCCGGGGCAGCGCGGAGGCAGCCCCGGGGCAGGGCCCGACCCGAGCCGCGCCGGACCCAGAGGTGGGTACAGGGGAGCCGGGACCCCCACCCCCAGCTCCCGGGGTGAGGCTGGGTTCCTCCCCCCACTGCACCCCCGATTTGTTTGTTGGGCCAGTTCCAGGGCTTGAACTCCGCGGCTCCCTCTCGGTCAGCTTTTTCTTGCTCTCTCGCCTGGCACTTCACTACTTGACCCACGCCCACGGCCCGGCATTTTGCTGCTTCATGGGTGATTTTTCTTTTCGTTTTCCTGCCCGGGTTGGCTTCAAATCTCTGTCCTCCCGATCTCAGCTTCCTGAGTAGTTAGAATTACAGTTTAACACCAGCTCCTGCTGAGGAGCTCACTTGTGGGGCGCTGGCCATCAAGGCGCGACTGCACCGGGGAGGGGCTGGGGACAGGTCCATCTCCTGGCTTCTAGGAAGGAAAAGCAAGAGAAGGGGGGGGGAGAGCCCTGATCTAGAGTCCTAGGGGACAGCTGCCTAGG